AATTAAGCTATGAGTATTATATTATTTCATGCATGTGTTAGTTTTAGATCTAGGTAGATATAAGCAATAGAATATTGATACTGGGATTTAAAGTATTTCATACCCTTCTTCAGAGTTATTTATTTATTTTTATTTTTAACTGGACCGCCTTGTAGCTCCAGCTGGCCTAAAACACTATGTAGACCTGGTTGGGCTTGATCTTATAGAGATCTGCCTGTCTCTTGAGTGCTGTGATTAAAGGTGTAAGCCTCCATGCCCAGCTACAGTAAAATTTTCAAGCTGGCCATGAACTCTGTAGATGAGAATGACCTTGATCCTTCTGCCTCTACCTCCTGGGATTATAGGTGAGCTACCACCTCTGTCTCTACCTTTTTTTTTTTTTTTAAAAAAAAAAAAAGATAAAAAATTTAAACACTGGGTGTGGTGGCCTGAACCTTTAATCCCAGCACTCAGGAGACAGAGGCAGGTATGTCTCTGAGATCAAGGCCAGCCTGGTCTACATAGTGAGTTCCAGGCCAGCTGGAGCTTACAGGGAGACCTGTCTCAAACCTCCCGCCCCCCTGCCAAAACAAAACAAACCAAAAACAAAAAAATGCTAGGCATGGCCTGAACCTCTGCCCGTAAGAGGCAGAGGCAGGTGGATCTCTATGAGATCGAGACCAGCCTGGTCCACATAGTGACTTCTAGGTAGACTGGGACCCTGTCAAAGCAAAGCAACACAAAAATTAAATCTGGGGTTTGGGTATGCTCTATCACTGAACTACATTCCCAGCCTAGTAATGAAATATTTTTTAAGTAGATAGAGAAGAATTAATGCTAGGAGGAAAACTAGAAGAAGAATTATCCCATGTGCTTTACAAGTACAGTGTTTATGCTAAAATGTGGAACTGCTACTTTTGGGTACCTTTTAGATGTGGTAGGTTATGGTGGGCTTTATGTTTTAAAAACATGTTAGCTTTGCATTTTTAAGTTTGTCACTGGAGTTAACATTAGTTTAGCTGAAATGACAGATGCAAAACTTACTGTTGATGTGTAGTTGGACTCGGGAAGTGGCAGGAAGATAAATTTTCTTTTATCATGTGTCTGTTAATTTTGTTAGAACATACTGTTTGTTTTGACAGAAATTGTACTGTGAGCTCTCAGTATTAAGAATTGAAAATCTGAAAGAAAAAAAAAAAAGAATTGAAAATCTGTTAATGAATTCTCCTTACCCCTGGAAATGGTTCTTCCAAGATGAAGTGAGAGGAATGGACAGGATAAAGCTTGTTTTGTTTGCATAACAAACACTGGAGACTAGGTAGAAAACTTTAACGTTAGAACTGTAACCTTTTAAGCCTGGCCACCACCACAATGCAAGTGTTTGAGTACCTTTACTCAGCTGATACACATTAGCTGTGATAACATCATTGAACCAAAAGGATTCAAATACAGGTTAGCATTTCCTTGTGTGTTGCTGTGTACTGCATGCAGAGCATTGTTCTTTGAGTAGTTACTTAAATAATATTCTCTTCATAGGAGTGAGCAGTTGCAAATGATCATTCAAACAGATATTTGAAGAAAAATTAGACTTTGTATGAAAAGAGAATGGGACTTGAAAAATATGTGGGTACCTACAAAATTGAAGGACAAAATAGGGAATCAGAGGACCAGGGTTTTGGCTTTGAAATGTCTTAAGACATTTTAACCTTGCTGGATGCAGTAGTTTATGCGTTTTAGTCCCATCAGTCAGGAGGCAGAGGCAGTGGATCACTATGAGATTGAGGCCAGCCTGGTCTACATATGGAGTTCCTAGTAGCCAGCTGGGGTGACAGGGAGACCTTGTCTCAAAAACAAACACAAGAAAAGGCATTCTAAAAATATAGCCTTGGCTGGCCTTAAACTCAAGAGATTCTCCTGCCTCTGTCTCTGCCTCCTATGTGATATATTTAAAGGCATGCTCCCCAAGGCTAGACCATGTTTTTCATTTTAGGAATATTTTAGTTTTGTTTGTGCCCATAGTAGTATCACAAATATGGATCTTAGGAAATAAGGATATCCATAAGAAAATAAAGACGAGAATAGAAGATGCTTGAAAGTTTGTAGACCTAAACTCTTAATCTGTAGTTCACTTTCTTTCTGAAATAACTATAGCAATGCATCTTTCATGTTATTTCTCTATCTGGTCACCTAAGTCTGTATTTTCCTCCTTCAATACTAGGGATGGGACCTGAGGCCTTGTACATGTTGAGCAAGCAGTCTTAATACTGAGGCACATCCAGCACTAATGTTTTTATTGTTACAAATTTAATATAATATATTTTTAGAGACAAGGTCTCGCTGTAGCCTTGGCTGGCCTGAAGCTTGGTAGTGATCCTTCAGTTTCCCAGTCCTGGTGTGTGCCAGGTGTGTGCCACCACGTTCAGCTTTGCTGTTTTCTTATTTAAATTTTTCCAGTGCTGGGCAATCAAACCCAGGACCTTGGGCCTGTTAGGCAAGCATGCTACTTCTGAGCTATATTCCCAGCCCCGAAACTTCAAATAAGCATTTATTTATTTATTTATTTAGGTCTTTTTGAAACAGGGTCTCCCTGTAGCCCCAGCTGGCCCGAAACTCACTATGTAGACCAGGCTGGCCTCAAATTTACAGATCCGCCTGCCTCTGCCACCCAAGTGCTGGGACTACAGGCGTGGTGGCAGCATTTATTTATTGGTGGCTTATCAAGTAGGCAAGTAAAATAGCTTAAACCATGTCTCTTTCTGAGAAATTTATGGTTATATTGACATCTGACTGAGCCTACTTATAAAGATTACTGTGTTTCAAAGGACCGGTCCTAAAGTAACATTAAAGTTCTGCCACTTATCTAACTAAGCTTGTATTTTTGTAGAGATTGCTATTTGGAAGATGCTTTGTGAATTATAACCTTCAGCTATTTCTAACTTTTTTCCTTTTAAAATTATTTTTAAAGATTGTTTTTGTTTTTTAATTATGTGTTTGTGTGTGCCTGTGAGTGCAGGTGCCTGTGAAGAGGCATTGGATCCTTTGGAGCTGGAGTTACAGACAGTTGTGGGCCACCTAGCCTGGGTGCTGGGACCTGAACTTGGGTTCTCTGCAAGAGCAGTATGGGCTCTTAACCACAGACCCATCTCTTTAACCCCAAAGTTATTCTTGATACAGGGTGTTAACTATGTAGCTAGGGTTGACCTCAAATTTGTAATCCTCTTGTTTCAGCATCCAGAATGCTAGGATTACAGTTGTATTTCAACATGCCTGACTGATTTTATACTCTTGAGGTAGCAATGTGAAAAATAGTAAAAAGGGAAACTGGGCTAGAATAAGAGGATAAGACAGGGTTTATAGGCCAGTTGAGTCAGCAGACTTTGGTGATACACTGGAAAAAACATGGTCAACAGAAGACTTTAGATTGAGGCTCCATTCATTCATTGACCTGAGGCAAGTCATTTCACTTCTGGTTTTCTTTCCTCATTTGACTTAAATAACAATTATTTATTTGTGCAGAGAATATATTTTTGGAATAGCTCAGGCTTGTTTTGAACCTGCTATGTTGCTGAGAGTGGCCTTGAATTTCTGATCCTCCTGCCTGTACCTTTCAAGTGCTAGGATCACTAGGCATGTGCCACCACACCTAATTCATGAGGTTCTGGGGCTCAGACTTGCTTCCTGCATGCTAGGCAGACACTCTACCAACTGAACTCCACCCCAATCTGAAAGTAAAAGTTTTACAAGTGCTTAATGAGTTTGTATCATAATTGGTGACTAGTGCATACATTTTTGATGAAATTAAATCTTTGAAGTAAGATTTTGGTAAATATCCTCTACCTGTTAACAGAAATACCCATTTTAAATAAAGAATATATGTTAAAGACCTATCTATCACAAGCAGAAAAGAAAAATGAGGCAGTTTTTGAACTGTTATGAAAAGAGTCCATGGAAGGAAGCTTTAACTTAAAATATTTTATTTATTATTTTTATTTTATGTGTATATGTGTATTGCCTGCATGTAGGTAAGTGCGCCCGTGTCATGCAATGCCCACGGAAGACAGAAGAGGCTGTCAGATCCCTTGGAACTGGAGTT